TTGCTCTTGCTATCTGCACTGTTGCTCCCCTCACGGTCCCATCAGCAATGCATGCCAGTTCTGTTCCGCACGACATTGTGAACAATGAAGACACATATTGTCATCATAGAGCGGTTCTGCTTTGCCTCAAATGTACCCTCTCTTAAGAAGTAATCGCTTCCTGTAGAAACAGGCAAAACGAGTTTCGAAAATGTTTTCACAGAACGGTCATTTATTACGTGCAATCTGGAATCTAACTCATTTAGTATCTCTGTGTATGCAACATTTGACAATTTCTCTTTGACCGTTAATCGAAAAGCATCTATCATATGCACAAAAATACCATGCTCAATGGTGTGCATACGGTCTGGTTGAAGAGCAAGATGATAATCAAGCGCTGAGTCATATCACCTGTCGGTCCTTTGTAAAACCCCCATAACCCATTCTCTTCCACGTGACTGAGAAGACCCTAGATTTTTAATTTTTCTCTCGTCTCCTGCGTTGTCACAACATCGTTTGGGTTTCGAAACGCTTGTATGATTGCTCTGTCCGTTGTTTCTGTCCGATAATTTTCATGAAATTCACCAATGACATTCATGTCATGTCTCCGTACGACGCACGTTGGGCAACGTCCGAACTTCACTCCTGCGAGGGCACATCTCTCCGGTAATTTTGAATATAGTTCAACATGAACGGATGAACTGTCATTTCCCCATCATCTTTTATTGCAATTTGAATACCATTGTGCGAAGCTTCCTTTGATAACTGTAATGTAATTGACAATGCTTCATGCAACATCATGCTCTTGCGTTTTCTTAAAGACGAATAATTTTGTGACCATCCTTTGTCCTTAGGCCGATGAGTCAAAATGGGCAGATAAGCCAACAACGTTGCCTCTATTGCCCTATCAGCCAATGACATCATCAAAGGATATGCCGTTTGCTTCATTCGACCGTCAAGATGTGTTTTATCTGAATACAGACAAAAAGGTATTACATAGCGTTCTCTTCCATTTCTGTCGAGACCTTTGTGGCAACGGATAACATCCTGCACATGTCGCCAAAGTTTCCCTGTGATGGCACCTGCAATAACGGGCTCGTCGGGAACATCTGATGGTACCTCTACAATAAGTTTGTTTTTTTAGGATAGCCCACGTTGCACTAATGATGTAAACGTCTTCGTCTAATCACGCCACATAAGTATTGCATGAGCATCTTCTGGCCAATCACTCTTTCTGAGATCTCTTTCCTACCATCCTGTTTCCCCTGCTTGCGAACTTACCCATTTGAGGCACTCTCGAGCTGTACGATATGGAATCGAGTGGCGGTCAAATTGGGGATGACTAATGATCTTCAAAAGAGCATCCATATCGGTAATTGACATCCCAATACCCCCCTTTGCAGATACCATCAGAGGTGCAAGTCTACGTCCTGATTCAAAACGATTCAAAAGAGACATGTTTTCCACCTCGTCCATTTGCTCGCCATCATTGTTATTGACTTGAGATACCGCATGATAATTGTTATTCTCTCCGATATCATTGTTGATGTTCGATAAACTATTGGAAACGTCCATTACTGGATTTACAATATTGAAGTTGCTCTAAGACTCTCCTTCCCTTGCTGAGACGGTGGCAATACAACGTCTTGCACGATGTGAATTTAGTGCACGAAGACTGCCAAAGGAACGACCGCAGTCACACGTTTGAAAGTCATCATTCTCCATGTAGCCAACTTTGTTACGTGGTTAGAAAACATCGAATGTAACCTGTTCCAAAGGATAACGAAATTTGAATTGTGCGAGAGAGAGTAACTTATAGAGGAAAGGTTATGGATGTTAGAATAAACACAGAATGCCATCACTATTTGTAACATAATGCTACACGTTTGTGTGATACGTCCTTAATTATGAAACAAATGAATATATAAAAAATGTCGCATCTGAATTTCAGAATTTATAAAACAAGTACGATAAGTGTCCTACAAGTTTTTACATACCTTATTCTCACACAAGCGCTTATATTGACAGTGATGTTTTTGCTTTACTGGACCACTTTTGGAGATCCCGAAGTTCCCCTGCTTCATCAAAGAAATTATCACAAACGAACAACAAAGATCGCGTAGTGAACAAATGGCATTACAAACACATGAACCGAGAGATTCCAGAGAACAGGGACACACTCACATACAGAAGAACTGAGAGAGACTGACAACAAAGTTTCAATATCTTATTTTATCTAAATCTCAGGTGGAGAATCACAAAAATTGAATCGAGTAGTCTGAACACACACACACACACACACACACACACACGCACACACACACACACATACACACACACACACACACACACACACACA